TTCTAACAAACAGAATCCAACAACATATTAAAAAGATCATACATCATGACCACGTGGGCTTTATCCCAGGAATGCAAGGATTCTTTAATATCCACGAATCAATCAATGTAATACACCACATTAACAAATTGAAAGATAAAAACCATATGATTATCTCAATAGATGCAGAAAAAGCCTTTGACAAAATTCAACATCCATTTATGATAAAAAAAAAAAAGTCCAGAAAGCAGGAATAGAAGGAACATACCTCAACATAATAAAAGCTATATATGACAAACCCACAGTAAACATTATCATCAATGATGAAAAATTGAAAGCCTTTCCCCTAAAGTCAAGAACAAGACAAGGGTGCCCACTCTCACCATTACTATTCAACATAGTTTTGGAAGTTTTAGCCACAACAATCAGAGAAGAAAAAGAAATAAAAGGAATCCAGATTGGAAACAAAGAAGTAAAACTCCCACTGTTTGCAGATGACATGATCCTCTACATAGAAAACCCTAACGACTCCACCAGAAAATTACTACAGCTAATCAATGAATATAGTAAAGTTGGAGGATATAAAATTAACACAGAGAAATCACTTCCATTCCTATACACTAACAATGAGAAAACAGAAAGAGAAATTAAGGAAACAATTCCATACACCACTGCAACAAAAAGAATAAGATACTTAGGAATATATCTACCTAAAGAAACAAAAGACTTATATATAGAAAACTATAAAACACTGATGAAAGAAATCAAAGAGGACACAAACAGATGGAGAAATATACCGTGTTCATGGATTGGAAGAATCAATATTGTCAAAATGACTATACTACCCAAAGCAATCTATAGATTCAATGCAATCCCTATCAAGCTACCAATGGTATTTTTCACAGAACTAGAACAAATAATTTCGCAATTTGTATGGAAATACAAAAAACCTCGAATAGCCAAAGCAATCTTGAGAAAGAAGAATGGAAGTGGAGGAATCAACCTGCCCGACTTCAGGCTATACTACAAAGCTACAGTCATCAAGACAGTGTGGTACTGGCACAAAGACAGAAATATAGATCGATGGAACAAAATAGAGAGCCCAGAGATAAATCCAAGCACCCATGGACACCTTATCTTCAACAAAGGAGGCAAGAATATACAATACAGAAAAGACAATCTCTTTAACAAGTGGTGCTGGGAAAACTTGTCAACCACTTGTAAAAATATGAAACTAGAACACTTTCTAACACCATACACAAAAATAAACTCAGGATGGATTAAAGATATAAACGTAAGACCAGAAACTATAAAACTCTTAGAGGAAAACACAGGCAAAACACTCTCCAACATAAATCACAGCGGGATCCTCTATGACTCACCTCCCAGAGTAATGGAAATAAAAGCAAAAATAAACAAATGGGGCCTAATTAAACTTAAAAGCTTTTGCACAATGAAAGAAACTATAAGCAAGGTGAAAAGACAACCTTCAGAATGGGAGAAAATAATAGCAAACGAAGCAACTGATAAAGAATTAATCTCAAAAAATATGCAAGCAACACTTGCAGCTCAATTCCGGAAAAATAAGTGACCCAATTTAAAAATGGGCCAAAGAACTAAACACATTTCTCCAAAGGAGACATACAGATGGCTAACAAACACATGAAAAGATGCTCAACATCACTCATTATCAGAGAAATGCAAATCAAAACCACAGTGATATACCATCTCATGCCAGTCAGAATGGCTGCTATTCAAAGGTCTACAAACAATAAATGCTGGAGAGGATGTGGAGAAAAGGGAACCCTCTTACACTGTTTGTGGGAATGCAAAATAGTACTGCCACTATGGAGAACAATGTGGAGATTCCTTAAAAAACTGGAAATAGAACTGCCATATGACCCAGCAATCCCACTGCTGAGCATACACACTGAGGAAACCAGAATTGAAAGAGACACGTGTACCCCAATGTTCATCACAGCACTGTTTATAATAGCCAGGACATGGAAGCAGCCTAGATGTCCGTCAGCAGACAGATGGATAAGAAAGCTGTGGTACATATACACAATGGAATAATACTCAGCCATTAAAAAGAATACATTTGAATCAGTTCTAATGAGGTGGATGAAACTGGAGTCTATGGTTCAGAGTGAAGTAAGCAAGAAAAAACCCTAATACAGTATACTAACGCATATATATGGAACTTAAAGAGATGGTAACGATGACCCTATATGCAAGACAGCAAAAGAGACACAGATGTATAGAACAGTCTTGTGGACTCTGTGGCAGAAAGCGAGAGTGGAATGATTTGAGAGAATAGCATTGAAACATGTATATTATATGTGAAACAGACCACCACTCCAGGTTCAGTGCATGAGACAGGGTGCTCAGGGCTGGCGCACTGGGATGACTCAGAAGGATGGGATGGGGAGGGAGGTGTGAGAGGGGTTCAGGATGGAGAACACATGTACACCCATGGCTGATTTATGTCAATGTATGGCAAAAACCACTACAATATTGTAAAGTAATTTGCCTCCAATTAAAATAAATAATTTTTTTTAAAAATAAAAAATTAAGAAAAATAAAAATGGGAATTCTGCAAATATAAAACTAAAAAGAATTTTTGCATCTTTGTTTACAGGAGGTGTGGATATATAGTTTTCTTTTCTTGTAATGTCTTTGCCTGATTTTAGTACTAGAGGAATGCTGTCCTCATTGAATGAGTTAGGAAGTGTTTCCTCGTCTTCTATTCTCTGAAAGAGATTGCAAAGACTTGCTACAATTTCTTCCTTAAATGTCTGGTAGAATTCACCAGTAAATTTTACATGCCTCCTGAGAAATCTGTATGCAGGTCAAGAAGCAACAGTTAGAACTTGTTCCAAATTGGGAAAGGGGTACATCAAAACTGTATATTGTCACCTTGCTTATTTAACTTCTATGCAGAGTACATCATGCAAAATGCTGGACTAGATGAAGAACCAGCTGGAATCAAGATTGCCAGGAGAAATATCAATAACCTCTGGTACGCAGATGACACCATCCTTATGGCAGAAAGCAAAGAAGAACTAAAGAGCCTCTTGATGAAAGTGAAAGAGGAGAGTGAAAAAGCTAGCTTAAAACTCAACATTCAAAAAACTAAGATGATGGCATCTGGTCCCATCACTTCATGGCAAATAGATATGAAAAGTGGCAAACTTTATTTTCTTGGGCTCCAAAATCACTGCAGATGGTGATTGCAGCCATGAAATTAAAAGATGCTTGCTCCTTGGAAGAAAAATTATGACCAACCTAGACAGCATATTAAAAAACAGAGACATTACTTTGCCAACAAAGGTTCATCTAGTCAAAGCTATGGTTTTTCCAGGAGTCATGTATGGATGTGAGAGTTGGACTATAAAGAAAGCTGAGCACTGAAGAATTGATGCTTTAACTGTGGTGTTGGAGAAGACTCTTGAGAGTCCCTTGGACTGCAAGGAGATCCAACCAGTCAATCCTAAAGGAAATCAGTCCTGAATATCCATTGGAAGGACTGATGCTGAAGCTGAAACTCCAATACTTTTGCCACCTGATGCAAAGAACTGACTCATTCGAAAAGACACTGTTCTGACAGTGGCTCAGGCACTGAGGCTTTTGTCCTGTTGTTGTCATACTGTCATTGAAACACACAACGTTTAATGTATGGAAGGTAAAAGAGTGGATGAAGAATTATTCATTGGATTTTCAAACTAGAATTTATATACATTATTTCCACCTACATTCCATGGCAAAATCTTAATAAATATGGAGCTTAAGAAAGTCCAGATATTTAACATGTGGTATAATGTGCTATAATCTTGGAATTCTAGTCTAGAAAGAACCAGGGTCTGCTAAGGGAGGAACTATTTTTCTGGAAAGCCTAGCAGAAACATACTTGTTTGCAACAAATTGTATTTCTTTAAATCTTTTTATGATGAATCCTTTTGTTTACAGAATTAAACCTTAGGAATTATTGCATATGTTAATTCAATGAAGTGTTATGTTTTTATAGAAAACTTATCACTGAGTAATAACATAAACCTTCATTTGTGACTTGGATGGTTACACCAGATTCAGGAGGCCAAGAGGCCCTAGATCTCATTAGGTACCACCACTAACTTATCAATTCTCCAGTTCCAAGGAGGGCTTAAACAAGCTTACTCAGGTTTGTTCTGCACACCCAGAAAAGAACACATAGGAGAGCTGATGTGGTAACTCCGAGTTCAGTGTCCAGACTCCTTGTTCGTAACCCAGCTCAGTTGCTCATTGGCTAGAGACCTTGGGCAGATGACCTCATCTCTCGGCCCGCTGGGCTTCCCTCATAGCTCAGTTATTAAAGAATCCACCTGCAATGCAGGAGACACCAGTTTGATTCCTGGGTCGGGAAGATCTGCTGGAGAAGGAATGGGCTACCCACTCCAGTATTCTTGGGCTTTCCTTGTGGCTCAGCTCTTAAAGAATCTACCTGCAATCCAGGAGACCTGGGTCGATCCCTTGATTGGGAAGATCCCCTGGAGGTGGGAAAGGCTACCCACTCCAGTATTCTGGCCTGGAGATTTCCATGGACTTGTATAGTCCACAGGGTCACAAAGAATCAGACATGACTGAGCAAATTTCACTTCACTTTACTCGGTCCTCTATCTCATAATCTGTGAAATGGGTTATTCATAGTACCTAATTCATAAAGTCATTGTGAAGATTAAATGAGTTATCTAATGTTATAGGCATTAGCTGTTATTATTACTATTATTTAGCACAAAACAATTAAGACTTTTTAAGAAAAAGGAAGAATATCTTTATATCGTCTCTATCCACTCAGAATATATCTTGACCATCTGTAGCATTATTGATTTAGCATTTTGGTTAGGTAGTGCATTGCAGAGCATTTGATGGTGAAAACAGCCATACTTTTTACTTCTATGACTAGGAACGTATGTGGTAACACTATGTGAGATAAAAGGTCCAGATAAAAGGCAGTTCCATTTGGTGTGGGCAAGGCCCGCTCTTCACTTGGCAGCGTGCTTCTTATTTATCTCCAGGAACTCAGTCACATCTTCAGGAGACCCCAAGATGATGGGTGCCCTCTGATGGATGTCAGTGGGAACGATGTCCAGCACAGCTTCCTTCCCGGTGGTAGCCATTCCTCCTGCCTTCTCTATGACATAGGCCATGGGGTTACACTCATACAGTAGTCTCAGCTGGAAAACAAGAGCGGCATCCTCACAGCAGAACATATTACACAGAAAAGAAATTTGCTCCTTAGCAAAGTAGTACAGAGGCGATCCAAGGTAACTGATACTTTCCCTTACCTTCCGTGAGGTTGTAAAAGCTCCCCCATGAGGTTGTGTCTAAGACGGAATGGTTAATTTAATCATTTGGTTAAGTTAAGCCATCCATCAAGAGCCAGCAGTAGATTGCCTGATGCATGTGAGGCAGACCACCTGGACTCAGGACTGAATGACATTTTGGCAGAAACGATGGTTCCCTTCTCTTTATAGCCCAGAGACTGGACCTAATGAGTGATTCTGTGTGTGTTTTGGATGGACCTTTGCCTATTCTAAAAGCATTTAAAGCCCATGGCAGTGTCTGGCTGCAGACATCTGGAAAGCAGACAGGCTCCTCCAAACAGTATAATATTGTTTGCAACTCTGTACACATTCCTTTTACAATTCTCCTAAGGCTCGAGGGTTGGGATTTAGTATGCTATACATCTTGGCATTTACTTTTAAATATTAACTTTTTTATTGTATGCATTTTCATGCAGTCTGCCTACTGAGTAGACAGCTTTTTGCAGGTGTTTCCTGACTCTATTTCCATACAGGTGTCAGGGTCAGATCTGCAAAACTGAAAATAAAAAGGGGCGGGGGAGGAACCTCAATATTTACATTAAGGAACAATTTTTTGAGGCATTAGAGAAAAGTGCTATAAAGCAGGCTAATCACATAGGTTGGGATTTCAGAGGGGGCTATGACAAGAGTGGTGTTTTAAGTAGATAAGAACATCCTTAGTGAACTGGACGCCACATGCCATAAACAGAGATCTGATCATATCTGAAGTACATCAATTTATAACTATCTTATGGGGATTGTTGTTCCTTCTTTCATATTAACAAAAGCCCGAGGGGGTGGGTAACAAAAGGACACTACTTGAGAAGCAAACACACTGACCCTCTGTGTAGGAGAAAAGTGGGACATCCTTTCACTAGCATGAGCAAGCACAGCCCATCCCATGACTTCCAGGAAGCCTGTGGGCATGAGAGCAATGCATCAGTAACAGCTCACCTGAAAGCTCTAGGTGTCCCCAGAGATTCTTTCCTTCTATAGAAAGGTATCATTTTCCAAGCAGCAAATGTCAGCTCGCTAAGTTATTTCAATTTTCTGCCTTTTGAAAAAGCAATCAAAGAAAACCTCTGTGTGGGATACATATGTGATTTGCTGCCTTGGTAATGAGGTTGGACTGTTTCATTTCACTTTATGAATGGAATTCATTTTGTCCAAGCCAAACCACACACCCACTGGAAGCACTAACAGCTTCAGTCCCCTCTGACCATAACCTCTTTACTTATCTTTAGCAACAGAAGGGCTCTCGAGAGATCGTTTTTGCCTGATACCACCTGACATTATCCAGGACAGCCTTTAATATAGAAAAGAATATGCCATAGACATCCTTTGCACCCTACTGCAGAGCATAACAGCTTCCATGACCCTTCTTTCTTCCTCAGTCAAATCCCCTAGGCTGCAAATGAAATCTACCGCAGCTCCACCACTCTTAGGGGATTTATTTACCTTTCCATTGGGGCTTTTCTTGTTAGCTGGATACATAAAGATCCCTCCGTAGACTAGGGTGCGGTGTACATCGGCTACCATGGAGCCCACGTACCTGGCGCCATAGGGGGCTGAGTTGTCCTATAAGGTGAAGACCAGCAATAATTAGGGTTATAGAAAAGAGAGTTTTCTTTCTGTCCTCTATGCTTATTTGATTCAGCAATCAAACAGAGCACCTTTTTTGAGGTGTGTATTTAGTGATGAAAATCTGTTCCCAAGAAGCAGAAAATGGGAATAATGGAGACAGCCTCTTACATCTCATAGTAGCTCAGCTTACCCAAGGAGGCCCCAAGGAGAATGGGGCTGATTCGGGTAGCAGGATCTAGCGGGAAGAAGGATTCTATGGAGCTGAGCAGCAGGGACAAGGGTGAGGTTTGCCTCTCACAGGAGCAGGAACTTCTCAGGCAAAGGAGAAGCTGTCTGCCTTGGGCCTGGGGAGGAGCCTGGTGCCACTGGGGCAGAGGGCATCTCTAGGGAGAGGTGGAAGGAGAGATGATAAAGCAGGAGAGAGAGCCCGGGAGTCAGCTCTAAGGGCCCCACATGCCATACTAATAGCATCTGAGCTTCCTCCTCAGAACACAGCAGCCTCTAGTGGTGTCAAGCTAGAATAGGACAAAATTGGATTTTCCCACATAGGACCAGCCATTTCTTCTCTTTGTTTTCAGTGATTTGTAACCTCTTTAGAGAGCTACCACAATGGATGCTTAATCTAGAGACGACTGACAGAAATCCATCCAGTGCCATGGGGCTGGGGCCTGGGGTGCAAGAATCATGTTTGTGCCAACTGACATCACGGACCCCAGAAGTGAACATGTTTTATTGCCATGACATCATTCACCTGGCTGACATGATTGTCCTGATTTTCTTCGGTCAAGAGGAAGTGACAAAGGGGTGATGTCCCAGGACGGGGTTTCCAGTCCCCAGTACCTGAGTAGGAACTTAACCATAGGGGTCAGTGCACAGTGGAGTTCACTTACTTCTGCCCCATCCCCCACCTTTCCTCTCTAGGGTAAATCATGAATCAACACATTTCTGCAAAGTTCAGGGGCCATCCCCACCACCACCACCCCCAGCCCCCACTTACTGGGGGGAACTTCTTCCTCTGGACATACTCAGTGAGGGCAGGATCAAAGTCCTTTGCATAGCCCTCATTGAGGCTGTAGATGCTCCCTTTCTTTTTGATCTTCACATCCCTGTCCACCAAAATGAACTCTCCAATGGCCTGTGAAACAGAAAGGAAAGTGGAGAGGTGAGGACGTCTCCTCCAGGCCTACAGGAAAGAGTCGCAGATCGGGTTGGGGAGATGGGGCACTTGAGGACTGAGATCACACCTGTGCTTCAGCACATGCTTCAGTACAAAGAGCTTGGATTTTGTTTTTTTCAACTGAGGTGTAATTGACATAACATTATGTTAGTTTCAGGTATATGACATAACACTTCCATATTTGTGTATGTTGTGAAATGATTACCAGCAAGGGAAATCCTTGGCCTAGGACAGGTGTGCCTTTGGGGGGATAAAAATGGTGCAAGCTAGAGCTAGGATATCAGGAGAGGAGATGGGCACCCAGTGTTCATGGCTGCTCTTATCTTAGCTTTCCGGTTTTTGTTTCTGTCTTGATGTCATTTTCCCTGAGTACCCTGCGTTCACCGCATGTATAACTTCCGATGCCTTTGCTCACTGATCTGAAGACTGTTTCTCAGAACTCAAGCTTCTGCAAAGTCCCAGCACTAAGCTGATGCCTTTAGGGCTTAGATTTCTCAATGTTAATGTTAAGTCACTTCAGTCATGTCTGACTCTTTGAGACTCTACGGACTGTAGCCTGCGAGGCTCCTCTGTCCATAGGATTCTCCAAGCAAGAATACTGGGGTGGGTTGCCATTTTGGAGATTTGAATTTGGGAAGACAGTGTCACATCACTACTGGAGCTCTGGACTGTTTGGGGCTTCTACATGTCCCTGATAAGAGAGTGATTGAGGCTCTACCCATCTGAGAAGGAAGTTGCTCCAGAGAGAGGAGAATTAAGAAGGGAGGCCCTGCCATGGACACATCTCTCCCCAGCCACTTACTCCCACAGCAAAGCTTGGTTCCTGCCAATATGGAGCACATTGGAACTAGAGAGGAAGAGAGGGAGGGAGAGAGGAGTGTAGGGAGAGAAAAGAGATGAGAATTAACAGTGGTCACTGAAAGGTATCATTGTGAGTGATTCTTTTTTTTTTTCTTTATAAGTTTTTGGTGAAAGTCTAGAAAATGAAGCCATTGCACAAATGCTTATGAAGCCATGCTTTGCAGACACCTCACCCTGGTACCTGGCCAGAGCATCCTACCCATGGAGGCGGTGAGTCTCTTGTACATGAAAAGAGACTGAAAAGCCTTTCATACTTTAAAGCTTGCTGGAGAGGTACATAAAGCTGTTGCAGTCTTCAGCAGAAACTGTCAGCCAAAATGAAATGAAAGCGCTATGCTGATCAGAGGCTCGCCCCCCCCCCAACCCCCACTCCTCAGGCATGGGGAGCAGAGGCTTTGTCAGTGATGGGGAGGGCAGCCAGCAGGAAGGAGGGTAGCCAGCCTGCATGGTTCTTCCAAACACTAAGTGGCCATTAGGTGTGAGGACAGCAAGAGACTATGAAACACACAGAAACTTACTCCGGGACATAACGTCTGCAATCTTGAAACAAGAAGAGATTTAATGTTTCCATCAGCTCAAAGGTAATAGAGGAGTCACCAGAAGAATGTCTGGGGAAGAGGTAAATGCCCAGCAGGAGAATAAACTCACAAACATCGGTGATTTCGGAAACCGATCCCTGGGGTCAATGTGAACTTTGCTCTGGGTCTGCCGCTGTTTCCCCCTGAAATAACAGCCCTTGGAGGCTAGTGCTGTTTCCCTACCCTTGTTTATTTGTTAAGTACCAGTATGCCAAGGAGCCAAAGTCCAGTTGTGCAACAACGCAGGGGACAAAGGCAGCCTGCGTTCCAGTTTCTGCGATCTGCCGCCCACAAACCCTGAGCCCCACCAGCAGCCTGCTCCTCACAGGATTCCAGCAGGCAAAGGCACCTAGTGCTGTTTGTCAGCAAAATGCACCAAATAAATAAAGTGCTTCATTAAATGTTATCTGAGGACATTTCTAAAACTGAAAGGTTTATAAACTCAATTCTTTTTCCCTCGGGACACTGGACCAAAGGCATACCTACTGAAGATGATTCTATAGAGTCCATATAAAAGGTGGGTTTAATTCGGCAAAGTATTTAAAGAGAATTCTATGCCTGGTTTATCTGCTCTGTTAAAACTGTCATCTAACAGAGTAAATAAATAACCCCAATTAATAGACATATGGAAGAAATTATCCTCAAATTAAAATTGCTAATGAATATTTTTCATGGCACCTTGGGCTCCTCTTCATGAGGGAGTTTCCTCTATAAGGTAGACTAAGAAATTATCTTCATTTCCTTATTTTCACTTCCTCGAACTCGTCAGAGTCTTTCAAAACCACAAGGGTTCACTGAAAGTTTGCATGCACTGAAGCTTGCATTTCATTTGGCGTTGCAATGCACATCAAATGAATCTGGGAGCTAATTTTGAAGAAATGAGGGGGTCTACTGCTTCAGCTGGGACACCCATATTCACCTCAGGAAAATAAACTGGTAATGGTGAGAGTGGGTGGCAAACAGACCATCTATGGGCCCCATCTGGTCTATAAACGTGCTTTAGTTGGCTAGCACAGTGTTTTACACATCCAGAAACCTAACATTTTCTAAAAATCCAGTGTTTCTTGAAACACTGGAAGCCATGGAAGAGTGAGCCGCTATTCCCAAGGAGTAACAACCACTGGACCTCCCCAGTTCCCTGCTGCCCCCCACTGCCCATCACAGCACCCACCATCCTGCCCCAGCACACTCCACTCATCTGTGTGGCCTGCCCAGCCCAGCAGGCATCTGAGTCAGCTCAGTAATGTCCGCCCTAACGAATTCACTGTGAAACAAAGGCTTCCTCTTGTGCTCTGGACAGACACCATTTGTCACCTCAGTAATCTTCTTATGATGTACACATATGGTCCATTCATCTCTCTACCCCGCTTCCCCACCCCATCATCTCTGTCCCTCCATGGGCCTCATCTTCCACCTTTAGGAATTGACTCCCACCGCCACACACACAACAGACACTCACAGCCGCCAGCCAAGCACCCAACTCCACCCCCGACTCCGGGATCTCTCACCGGGTCCAGCATGAAGCAGTTGACTCCATTCGCCATGGCCAGGACCAACATGGTGGCACTGCCATAGAGCGCATAGCCCGCAGCCACCAGGTTCCGGCCTGGCTGCAGAGCGTCCTTCTCAGAAGGGTCATCTTTCGAAATCTAGGACAAGAAAGAAAACAAAACACATTTTTGTTTTGTTCTGTTTTGTGGTTCTTTTTGCAGTTCCTCCCTTAGCAAGATGCATTATCAAGGTGCTCTCCTAATGAAATAGGGCATCTTCCTGGATTGGGGGGGGGGGGACGGGCACAGGGGCAGGGAGGAGGGCTTCCTCCACACACCAGTCATATCCTGATTATATTACCACAGCGACCTTCCCACCAAAACCCAAATTTCCTGCATCTGGATCCATCTTTCCAATCTGAGTCCTCCTTCAATCTTACTAATTTGATATTCCTTCATTTCTCCATTATCACTCTCAAAAAAAGAGCATGCCTCCATGCCAGCGCCCGCTAATTTAATCTTATTACAGGCATCAATGTCTTTCCCTTGCCTACTCTATCTTTATTTAAGCAAATTAAAACTGGGCTGCACGGCTACCAGTCTGGCGAGGAGATCAATTTCCTGAGCTCCTGCCAGTTGTGGCACATACTCCAGTGAGCAACATGCTCCATAGTCACACAAAGAAATTCTCAGAAATACAGACACTGAGACTCTCTCTCCAGGGTCATTACTATGCAGGACAATGCTCTCCATGTTTTTAACCATGACCCACAGTAAAAAATACATTTTATATCACAAACCAGCACCAATACAACTACAAAAATTTAACAAAACAATGCTTACACTTAGAACATGACATCTACTCTAATCTGTTTTTCATTAAAAACACAGCCCACTGGGACAGTGCCTCAGTTTGTTCCCTAATACTAAGGAAAGGAAAAACTTAAGGGCCTGGCTCCTAAGCAGTGGTCACTAATAATTATCTTCTTAACAACTGGCTTCTATGGTCCTCAAAGCAGCCTCAAACAGATCTTTCTGCTTGAAAATTCTCTACTTGAATTTAAACAGAAATGAAAATGAGCAGTTTCTGCAAATTTCATTTATCCCTTCCCCAACCACAGATTCTAGGGCCTGAGAATAAATAAGGGAATTCACATCATGATACTGGAGATGGAGGTCACCTCAGCAAACACATTCCTGGTAATTTTTCCTAGAACTTTTGAAAGTGTGGCCCAGAGACCATGTCCCTCAGAATCACTTGAGATGTTTATTTAAAAGGCAATTCTGGGCCTGCAACCTAAACTTACTAAGTCAGATTTTCTAAGGTGGGCCCTGAATCCTCATTTTACCATGCACCTTAGGTGACTCTCCCACTGAAGCTTAAGAACTACTCATGTAAAAGGAAGAGTCACAAAAAAACCCACCTCTTTCATTTTGTTCTTGTATCTCCAAGCTTTGTGTTTAATGCATCTAGATCGTTGGTTGGTTGCTTGGCTGGCTGGGTTGGGCCAAGTTATTTGATTTAGTTTGGTTTGTATTCACAGGGTGGTACAGTACAGCTAAACACGGACTAAACACAGTATCAAATATTTGAGTTGTTTTCTCAAACTCCAAATTTTGCCAGTGTACAACCCTGAAAGGAGAATCGACTTCCTTCAAAACCGGTGATATAGTGGGAAGAAAACAGGCAGGCTCTAAACATCTCCTCTATCATAACTATTTAGCCCTGCAAGTGTAGCACAAAGTAGAACAAAGTCAGTATGTAAACAGATAAGCTGACTGGAAGCCCCTAGAGGCTTGGAGTAGTCAGTTCTCTACCAAGAAAAGTCCCTCAGAGAGACACCTCATCCAGAATCATCCATGTCTGCCTGCGGCACAAGGAAGAACAAACCTGTATTTCCCAGATGGTCCATTGGTTAAGAATCTGTCTGCCAATGAAGGGGTTATGTGTTCAATTCCTGGTTCGGGAAGAGTCCATATGCCTCAGAGAAACTAAGCCCATGTGCCACAACAAGAGAAATCACTACAATGAGAAGCAAAAGCACCACAACTAGAGAGTAGCCTCTACTTGTTGCAACTAGAGAAAGCCCTCTTGCAACAATGAAGACCCAGCACAGCCAAAAATTAAAAAAAAAAAATTTTTTTTAAAGAATGAACCACTTTTCCCTGAAATATTGTCACCAAATAATCTCAACCCTTCAACTTCCTTGTGTGGAATTAGAAATGGTAACATTATTTATGATCCATATATGCAAAAGAAAGACAAAGTAATTCCATCTAGTCATGGAGTTGGAGGAATTCTTTTCTAGCCCAAACCCCCTTCTAATGCCCAACCTCCTCCAAACCCCCAACAATGAATGCCTTTGTTCAAAAAGAACCTATTACAGTCTCATGTGGATGTTCACAGACCAATGTGCATGAAGCTTGGCAAACATTAGAAAGCCTCTGGACCCTACCTTTTTTACTTATCACAGGCCACCACCTGCTGCAGGTATTGCTTTGTTTTAACCCATGCCACTCCATATAAAGCATGACAGACACCATGGATTCTGGAGACTTGAGGTGGTGGAGGAGAAAGTCAGGCGGAAGTGGTGTGGGGTTGTCATGTCATCAGACAGTCTTCCCACAGAGGGACAACCCAACCCTCCCTAGAAGTTCTCACAGGGCGTTTGGCAGCATCTCCAGTAACTCAGCCAATATTACTCACCACTGTACCAACCTAGTGCACAAAAAATATATATAAAATGAGGTCGCTGCTCTTAAGAAGGGGTATAATCTGGAGTGAACATCAGCTGATTTTGCCTGACCAGAATGCTTCACTCTTCTGCTGACAACTGAACTTTAATCTTCTGTAAGATACCGTCACCCTCACTCTTAGCTCCAATGGTGGGCACATGACCCTGACTTGACCAGTCAGATTACTGCATGCCTTAGGCCACAGTGACTGGTTGAGAGATGAACTCATGACCTAAGTCAAGCCAAGCGGGGCTGATGAGGTGAAATCCCTGTTGAAATTGTTGGAAAAGAGGTTTCCATCTTCTTTTACTTATTTATCTATTTATTTTTGGCTGTGATGGGTCTTCATTGATGCATGCGGGCTTTCTCTAGTTGCAACAAGTGGAGGCTACTCTTCCTTTGTGGTGCATGGGCTTCTCATTGCAGTGGCTTCCCTCATTGATGAGCACAGGCTGTAGGTGCACAGGCTTCAGTAGTTGCAGCACGTGGGCTCTGTGCAGTGGGCTCTAGGGCATCCGGGCTCTGGAGTACAGGCTAAGTAGTTGTGGTACGTGGGCTTAGTTGCCCTGTGCACGTGGAATCTTCTGGGACCAGGGATAGAACCCATGTCCCCTGTACTGGCAGGTGAATTCTTAACCACTGGACCATCAGGGAAGCCTAAGCTTTGCATCTTCTGTTTGAGACACTGAAAGGATTGAGTGTGAACCCAGACCTACTGGGAGCCATTTTTCTACCAGAAAGGAGGGAGCTACAGAGATAGAGAGAAAGTGTCCTGTTATATGAGTGTCTGAGTCCTTGAAAACAGTTATACTACCCAGTGGACTTTCTAGTTACATACACCAATCATTTTCCTTTCCCTTCCCTCCTTCCTTTCCTTCCTTAAGTTGGTTTGAGTTGTGAAACTGTGTGTTGAATATTAATAGACAAAACAAGCAATATTAATGGCTACCATTTATTGAGCACTTTTTATGTGTCAGGCACTATTTTCATTGCTATTATGCTTAATTTTCAGTATCTTCGCCTTATGGATGAGGAAACAAGAGATTATATTGCCCAAGGTCCCACAAACCTAGTAAGTGTCAATGTCAGGAAGCCATATTCCATATGGCTATGAAGTCTCTCTGTGTCCAGTTAAGGAAAGTGAATTGGATTCTGAAGCTGCTAGAGCACTTTTAAACTCTGCTTTTAGTTGTGGGGACTGGATATTTTTAACAGATATTGAAAATTAGAATGTATCCAACAGAGGGTAAACGCACAAGAGAGAGGTCAAAAAATCATCCTTCATATGAAAGATATTTAACTTAAGATTTAAAGGAAAGGGCTTTCCAGGTAGTGCTAGTGGTAAAGAACCCTCCTGCCAATACAGGAGACTTAAAGAGACTTGGGTTTGATCCCTGAGTCAGGAAGATCCCCTGGAAAAGGAAATGGCAACCCACTCCAGTATCCTTGCCTGGAGATTCCATGGGCAGAGGAGCCTGATGGGCTACAGTCCACAGGGTCGCAAAGAGTTGAACATGACTAAAGTGACTTCGCAAGCTTCAAAAGAAAGAGAGAGGAGGGCAAAAAAGCCATTTCCAAGCATGTAAAAGAGTCTTATTTTCTAATGATACAAAAGGCCATTATGAGCAACAGGGAGGCAGATTTTGATTCAATATTTGGACAAACACTGATTCAACACCTCAGGAAAATTCTACCCCTTCTGGATGTCTCCAGCCAGAGGCAGGGTGACACTTCTGGAGGTGCCATGGCAGGAACTTCATAGAAACACTGGACCACAGGCCCTAAGAGATCCCTTTGGAGCCTGTTTCCAGGCATCTTGTGGGCAAGACCAGCTCCCTGTTGCCAGATTCTAGTTACCAGCTGATGTTATGCCACTGAGTGGGTGCACCAGGGAGCTGAATTCCAGGCCAGAACCAGCTCTGCAGAAAGCAGGAGAGGTCTCCTTTAAAACATCAGACATTTCAGTATTAATGCCCTGTAAGCTTTCAAATGGCTTCAAACAATCAATAAGGCTTTTGAAAACTGAAATGACTTAAAGGCAATGTGACACTCATCACCTCTCTCAGTCTTTAAGAGAGTCACTTCGGGTTTATTGAGAAGAGTGTGGAGATGCATTGTTGAGTTGTTCTAGCATTTGTAATTCAAGCTGCTGTTGCAGGCTGTTTTTATTTTTTTTAGTTGATAGTGTCAGTTTCCCAATTTTTTTCCCCTTAAAAGGGTCTTTATTGGGGGAGGGGAGTTGAGGCAGAAACTGGGGCTGGCAAATGTTAATGCTGCTTTAGCTTTGGTTGAGTCATTAACCAAAAGTCTACCTCTATATGAGGAATTTTGCTACAAAGGTCTCTTGCTGTACTATAATATTTAGATCTGAAACCTTGCAGGTAAAATTATATGCCTGCATATCTATACCAAGAATGGAATATTTCATGGTTTGACTTGAAAGATAGATTAATTCCTGCCTTTGTCTTTCTGGTATGAGTATTAGAACCTTCAATTACTTACACTGCCTCCCAGCTAAGACAAATGCAAAATTTATTTCAGTAACGAAAGAAAACTGTCCCATGGTGGTCCTACTATCCATGTTTGAAAGGAGATTATGTGCAATACTAGACAACAAGTCACTTTGAAAAGTAAAGCACAAACTGCGGTCTCAGTTTTTAAGTTATGGCCTCTATATCCCAGAATGGGGGAGTTGGAGGAACCTCGGAGGTCAGCTGAATTAGCTGCCTCATCCATTAAGATGAAGAAAAGGGCTCAGCCTCCAAGGCATCTGTGAGGTTTTATTTCTAAAATAAACAAGAGGGCTAAAGACAAGATGACACATTTTAGATTTCATTGTGTTTTATGATGAACCCATGTGTATTCATCTATTTATCACTTGTCTGTATATTTGAACTCTCTTCCACCAACATCCAACCCCCAGCCCTCCACACACAGACTTAAAATAAAAGAAGGAAAGAGAGGCTTTAGAGGTAGAGTTCCTGCACAGGTCATGTGGGTAGAAGAGACACAGGGCAGAAATCTGGATCCCCATGCTGTACCAGTATGCTTTCTATAATTTATGGCAAAGGAGTTTAGGGTCAGCAAAATCCTCCCATAAACCAACAAATAGTAAATATTCTAGGCTTTACTGTCACAGTCCTTATCACAACCACTTAACCCTGCCTGTCTAGTGCAAAATCAGCCAAAGGCAACATGTAAACAAGGGAGCTGACCATATGCCATTAAAACTATATTTATGGAGACTGAAAATTAAGTTTCATATAAATGTCATGGGTCATGAAATATTATCCTTTAGATTTTCTTTTTAGCCATTCAAAAATGCCAAAGAGTTATCTTTTGTTCACAGGCCATATCAATCAGGCAATGGGCTGGATTTGGCCAGGGAGACCAGAGTTTGCAGACTTGATTTAGAAAATTTAAAGGACAGTTTTGATATAATCCCTATTGTTGTCACATTCTCACAATTCTCAATTCACACGGTTATCAGTACTACAGCTATGCACCATCTCTTCCTACCTACCTCTTACTACATTTTCTTTTAACAACTTAATAGGTTTTCACTATGCAGTTAATGCTGGGAAAAATCATAACTTGAGAAATAAGGGTTTTTTTTTTTTTTTTTTCCTGGTGGCTCAGGTGCTAAAGAATCTGTCTGTGCTGTGGGAGACCTGTGTTTGATCCCTGGGTTGGGAAGATCCCCTGGAGAAAGAAATGGCTACTTACTCCAGTATTCTTGCCTAGAGAATTCCATGGACAGAGGAGTCTGGCAGGCTGCAGTCCATGGGGTCACAGAGAGTTGGACACAACTGAGTGACTAACACTTTCACTTTGGGGCTTCCCTGGTTACTCAGCTGGTAAAGAATCTGCCTGCAATGCAGGAGACCTCAGTTCGATTCCTGAATCAGAAAGATCCACTGAAAAAGGGATAGGCTACCCCCCAACTTCAAGCCTCATGGGGTTTCATGACGTACAGTCTGGTTGTGCCACCAACAGTGAAACAGGACTGGATGTTCACCTTAGCTCTACTTTTGGTCCCAAACCAGGTGCTCGATCCATTACATTTTACCTTTTTGTAGATGCCAAAGATGGTTCCAATGGACACAAGGCAGTCAATGTTGGATGATCCATCAAGGGGATCAAAACAGACCACATATTTACCCTGAACAAAAAAGAAAGAAAATATTAATACAACTTTGCTTTAAAAATGAATATATTGCAACAAAACAGATAATATACACTAAGAGGTTAAAAGAAGGAATCTAAGGAAAAATTCAAGAAATGTGTTTATTTATGCTCTGTCAGAGAAAGTATGAGATGGTACACAGAGTGAAAATAATAACAAATATATATCAAAAGATCATTAGGCAGAGAAACACAGAATAGGAGGCCTAGATTAAGGTGAGAAATACAAATATTAAATAATAATTTACTATATCATTGATTTGAATGAATCATCATTTTGGTTAGAGTTTCCTCTAACCAGTCAAGGAAGAAGAGAAATAAGATTAGTCACTTCATTCTCTTTATTCATAAGGGAAATGTTAGTTGCTCAGTCGTGTCTGACTCTTTGTGACCCCATGGACTGTAGCTTGCCAGGTTCCTCTATTCATCCTTGGAATTCTCCAAGCAAGAATACTGGAGTGAGTACCCATTCCTTTCTCCAAGGGATCTTCCCGACCCAGGGATCAAAACCATGTCTCCCGCACTGCAGGCAGATTTTTTACTGTCTGAGCCACAAATGTAATAACTTATGTGAAATAAAGTCAACATTAAGGTCTATAAGAAAATTTTCATGGGGTTACAGTGCACAGAGTTCTCACCCATATTCCTATTATAATTCCCAAAGGAAATACCCCTCAACTGTAGTGGAACTACCAAAGACTTATTCTATGGACAGGATTTTCAGTGGTACTCTGGAGCTGATTGGCATTGGTTCTCAAGAGCCAATTATGCACATCTCTTCCCAACTCTATTTTCAGTGATGTCATGTTGATAACTTAAAATCAATTATGGGACACTATTTCAGTTTCAATTGACAAGTGCTACAAATAAAAGATTTTTTTTTTCTAATAGAGAGCCAGTTTACCAGCATACCACTGGAAATTTTCCCTCTCCAAGTTAGCCACTTTAATATGTGTTTTTTAAATTTTTGCATCAAATTAAGGCAATTCTCTGATTCCCTGGCTTCTTGCTCTTAACAAATCCTCCTGGCCAATGCAGGAGAAACTGTCATCAGGAAACCAGGAATACACTTATCACTACAGTACATTGTAATCAGAGAAGTTGGGCTGACAGAGAATATTAAACAGCAAATTCAATTCTAAAATGAACATGCTCAAAACTGACAAGTACCTTTAGAAACGCAGCAGAGAACAATATGAACTTTAGTAGTATTTTAGGAATGGCATAAAGCAATCAAATCAGATGTGACTCTCCACTCTTCTTATAAAGGTCAGATTGGATATCAGGCAGTATCTTTAAATTGACCTCCTGTTGCTTTTTTCTCATCATACTCTTTCATCTCATTCTCATAATAATACTCAAAGGTATTATTAGTATTATATGATTGTTGTTCAATAAAACCTGAATATACCCTTTCATTCACTTTTTCAACAATAATCTATTGTTGATCCCCCACAATGCACCAGGTGTTGTGCCAGATGCTGGGATACACAGAAGAATAGAAACTGCTCTCTGCCCTCAAGAAGCAATCACATTGGAATGGAGTGGGACCCTGTAGGGCTTTCTTAGGAGAGATCCTCTCCCCAACCCCATGTCCTCTGCCTGCCTTTTGTCTGTGGAAAAACACTTTGGCCAAAGAATAAATTTAATCATAGAAGTGAGAAAATGCTAATACAAAGGAAAGCAATCAAGGAAGACCAACTAAACAAAGTCAAGAACCTTCAGTTCTCTCTTCTGAGCCATAGCCTTTGAGCTGTTTTGCAGCTACTGAATCCCCCACCAGGTGGAAGAAGTTAACTACATGAAAACCAGACTCACCATCAAGCTTACACAATTATTTTTAAGAACTAGCTTCAGGGAGACGGGAACAAACTGACCCTGGAGTTGAAGATTAGCTGTACTTAAAACAATCAAGATGACACTGATCAGACCACTACATGACCGATTTCAAGATGACTGTCAAACCCAACTGTGCTGTTCTGCATACAGCCCCTTCCCTCTGCCTATAACCCCCCGAAACTCCCCTCTAAAAACTCTTGCCCCTAGATCAGCAGCAGGGAGTTTGTTCTTTGGGACATGAGTCCACCTTCTCCCCAAGATTACTGGTTTCCTCAATAAAGCTATCTTTCCTTCTAGCCAACACCTGCCTCTCAGTGGGCTTCCCTTGTGGCTCAGCTGGGAAAGAATCTGCCTGCAAGGCAGGAGACCTGGGTTCTATCCCTGGGTTGGGAAGATCTCCTGGAGAAGGGAAGGACTACCCACTCCAGTATTCTAGCCTAGAGAATTCAGGCCCAGTTCTCTGGCCCAGAAGACTACACAGTACATGGGGTTGCAAAGAGTCAGACACGACTGCGCAACTTTCACTTTCACTTTTTGTCTCTCAGTATTTGATTCTTGAGCAACCTAAGTTCGGTAACAAGATTAATAAGATTCCAATGGATTCCAATGCATGAATCACTGCTGGAACTGCTAGCAGCTTAGATTGGCAGGAAGATTGGTTGTGAGGATTGGAAACTAGGTGAATGGAGATGAAGCAAAGGATGTAGTTAACAGAAGAGAGACTTTGTAGAGCTTTGAACATGACAATTAAAAGAAGTGGAGATAAATATGAGTATATTTGAGTCTCTCCTATGTATGAGCACATAGGAGAGATGATAACAGAATAGACTGATGAAAGTGTGGACAGGAGAGGACAGTTTGAGATAACAGCAGTGAGGAGGAATCTGTGAAATGATGACTGGTGGTTCAGGGGGGATCTAGGGTGAGTCTTAAGAATCCAGCTTGGTTGAACAAGTGGAATCATTTATGAAGCCAGAAAGAAAAGTGATTACATTAAAACCCTCAGCAGCACAGGAGCAGACCCACCCTTTTCTCAGGTTCTACTATTATGGCGTGTTTATCTTCTTCTGACACAAGAACACAGGTAGCAAAAGATGACTTTAACACATTAACAACCAGGTCATTGGAGAGGACATCCAGCTTCTTCACTTGATCTCCCGTCACATTGGTAGAGCCAGCAATTCCATAGCTAGAGGGAAAAAAAAGCCACGAAAATATAAGCCATGAACACCAGAATGTTAGTGCATCTATGAAGTCACTAAAAGAGAGCATTTGGTAAGATTTAGAAGAAATGAAAGGAGACACATGGTTTGGGAGAAACAGAATGAGAAGGATGACCATCTATCTGGAGTGGCTTCTGGAAGGAAGGCAATATTGTCATTCACCTGTCCAATGCCTAGCATAATAACCAGCACAGCTATGTGGCTAAATTCATGTTTCTCAGCCTTTTTCTCATTATGGCCCTAAGGAGGCTTTTTTTTCTCTAACACACTCCCCCATGAAAATTTAATATTACAGATAGAGTGTATCTGTTTATGCACTATATGTCCATATGTTTCATACCTAAAATGACTGTTTTTTTCACCACCACCAATAACCAATTTTTACCCCTGAATGCATGAGTTAATGTACAATGAGTTAGGTGAGAGACAAAGCAAGCAAAGAAACCTTCTGTGTGGGAGGGAGACTGAGATGGGAACTAAGCCAAGGGATCTATGGTTTTATAGCTGACAAGATCCTAAAAGAAAATAAATATTGACAGATCCCACCACCTCATTTTATAGAGGAAGCTCACTCTAAGACACCCTCTGTAAACTGGAGCAGCAGAGGTGAGCAGCTCACTTTGACTTCCAGCCCAGGCCCCTCCTGGTGGTACCTCACAACCTCCAGCAGGAGTCCTAGGGGCTGGAGCGAGCGGAAAGTCTGGAGTCCTTACTTTATCTTCAAGGTACCTGCAAATCAGTAATTGTGGAATTCCCAGAAACCAAATAGTTGGTCCAAAGTAGAGCTCAGTTTGTTAGAATAAGGGGAGAAAAGGGTTGTCATAGCCTGGGGTTGAATAGGAACACTGAAAGGACGGGAAATGTTTTTGAGGAAGGATGCACAGAACATGAGAAGAGGCTGGATGTGGAGAGGGAAAGAGTAAGAGCATGAAGATAATGCCAAACAGCTGGGAGTGGGTGTTAATAGGCACGTTGGCTGAGATTGCTGGGAGCACTTGTCTGGGGACTGACTGTCATGGTATTCACTGCTTCAACTCCTGAAGATGCATTTTCTCTACACATAACTTGGAAGTCTCTGGCTGGCCAAAACTGAGCCAGCACCAAAATGGATCATCTGGCCTGACTCTACAGGAAGTAACTCCAGTTATCACCGAGCCCATTCTCCAGTGTTGTCTCTTCCAGCCTCATTCTCCCGCCCACCTGGAAACATCATCTCATCCCTCCAGCCCTCCTCTGAGCCCTTTTCTTTTCATTATGTCACTCCTATTTCATGAATGAAAGACCAAGGGATCTATCAGAGCTGCAGCTGAGGTTTTGCTTCTCCTTCCACACAATCTCTTTCTCACTTCAACTGTGAGGCTGATGTTGATGAAGAAGGAAGGCAGTCAAATTCTGGATTGAACTAGGGCCTGGCTGGACCCAACCACTCAGTGGTCTCCATCTCCCTCAACGGCCCTACCGGCACCAACCGGCTCTCCTTCCTAGCCTGACATTTCCCCCATTAAAATCATCACTAATTCAAAAGGGCAAACAGCATTGATGGAAAAGAATATGGGCTTCCTGACAGAGACCTGGCTCAGCCCTCAGCTCTACAAGCCCCTTGCTTTCTCTGAGCTCTCCTTTTCATTCATGAACATGGACGGCAATGACGCCTCATGGGGCTGTTGGAGAATTACACACATCGCATATACACAAAGGGTTTTAGCACAGCCCTTGACTCTCAATGTTAAATCCCTTGTTTGCCCACTAAAGGCAGCACTCATTAAGAATCTACAGTACTAAGGGAGAGTTCTCAAGATCCCCCTTGCTTCATCCATCATCGTGTTGCCATGATTGTTTAACTTTTAATTTCATGAGGATGAGGACAGAGGGGTATGTTTTCCCCCACTGTGTCCCAGCTTGCATCACATAGTAGGCCCTCAAGCAATACTTGCTAAAAAGTATCCACTGAAGAGAACAGAAACTCCAGCCTGAAAAATGAGTATAGGAATCAGTAGACTTCAAGGTCACTCCACACCCTGGAGTGTGGAGGAAGCCTCTGGCACAGTCCCCAGAAGGACTAGCCTATGGGGACAGCTCCAGGGAGGCCTGGGAGGGCTGGGACAGGTGGATGAGCCACCGAGGCAAGTGTGGGCAATACCTACTTTCCACGTTCCACCTGCTCAGGCACCTGGCTCAGTGTGATGGGTGAAGAGCAGTCAGGCCTCAGCCCTCTCACCCAAAATCTTCCCAGAGGCCTGTGTGAGTGATTATTTATTCTGCAAATATTTTTTGTCCCCACTGTACTGAGTGCTGGGGTTACAGTGCTAAACAAGGTGCCATTCAGCATCTAACCCTCATGGAGCTTAGTGAGTGAGGAAAACAAGAAATCAATACGTACTTCTGAATGAATAAGATAATGTCAGAAAATGACAGATGCTTTCATTTTAATAAAAGGAAACAAGGTGCTGGGGGATGGCTGGGCAAGGGTCAAGATGGTCAAGGAAGATCTCACTGCAAGGGAGCAATTCCAGCTGAAGGATACTTTGGCTGTTTTACAAACAAAAATGAAGCTATGACAAAGCCCTAAGAGTCCACATTAAGCCAGCCAGTAATGATTCCAAAGAACAGCTCTGGGTTAGTAATTTATCCAAAGGAACAAAGACTTTGTTTTTCACATATTTCCAAATGGGAGGGGTTGCTCTGTGCACATTTATACAAGTAATTTTTTAAACCTCAAAGTCTTTCCCATGCTGTGGGTTACAAGAGGCTGTAGTCAGCCTCAGGGCAGCTGGCTCATCTAGCCGGGACCACCAGCCAGGTTCCACATTGCTATTCTAGGGTCATAAGGTGGCTCCTGACCTGGGGTCACACCTCCTCTCATGGGGAGTCAGGTGGGGCCATATAACAGCTGCAGGATGAACACTGTGGGGGACACTCACCACACCAGAACCAGAACCCAAATGGCCATCTTCATGGCCAAACCATGCAGACCTCTGTGATGGCCCTGCCTCCCTGCCTGGACAGGTGGTCACCTGTCCGTCCTCCTCTTTACCCCTGTGGAGGCTCCCTCCTCTGTTCTAACCAGAAAGATCCTTCCCCATCTTTCCTCCAGTTGCCTGTGAAGCACAAAAAAAATGAAAAGAGATTATTCTGGGCCCCTTAAAGTCAAGATTCAGGCACTTTCTAGGACATCTTGTAGGAGGGTTTCCCTTAGTGAGACCTTGTGTTAGAAAGGTCTTCAAGAAGGATCAGGAAAGTGACTCTAAGGTAGAAACAAGCTTCAGAATGAAGAATTCCAATGAATGAAGAATTTCTGCCATCTCAGTAGTGACAATATCTGAGTCAATACCCCCATCACCTTGGTTTCTGTATGGTGCACCGTAGCGCGTGAAGTTAGGAGAAGGCAATGGCATCCCACTCCAGTACTCTTGCCTGGAAAATCCCATGGGCAGAGGAGCCTGGTAGGCTGCAGTCCATGGGGTCGTGAAGAGTTGGACATGACTGAGCGACTTCACTTTCACTTTTCACTTTCATGCATTGGAAAAGGAAATGGCAGCCCACTCCAGTGTTCTTGCCTGGAGAATCCCAGGGACAGCGGAGCCTGGTAGGCTGCCATCTATGGGGTCACACAGAGTCGGACATGACTGAAGTGACTTAGCAGCAGCAGCAGCAGCAGCACGTGAAGTTAGCTTTATCTCACACGGCCCTGCATCATCCTGCCCAGGAATGACGAGCCAGGACTAAGCAAATGTTCAGTCAGGCTTCCCCCAAGACACCTCACGAGGGTTCCCCAGAAGGGAAGCAAGATCTGGACAGTACATATTCTATGGATCAATGAAAAGTCAGAAGCAGGAAAGGCTTCTGCAACTTTTTTTTTTTTTTTTTTTACTTTTTGGCCACACCCCCCTGGCATATGGGATCTTAGTTCCCCAACAGGGATGGAACCCAAATCCCTTGCATTAGAAGTACAGAGTCTTCCCTGGACCGCCAGGGAAGTCCCAAGGCTTCTGCAACTTTGACAGAAGAAAAAGGCCCTAAGAAAATCCTCAAGGAACTAATAAGCTGAAGAACAGAGTTTATTTTCTTCATAAGTTTTCAGAAAATCCTTTAGAAACATGCTGCTGCTGTTTAGTTGCTAAGTCGTGTCTTTGCGACCCCATGGACTATAGCCCACCAGGCTCCTCTGTCCATGGGGCTTCTCCAAGCAAGGATACTAGAGTGGGTTGCCATTTCCTTCTCCAAGGGGATCTTCCCTATCTAGGGATCAAACCCGGGTCTCCTGCTTGGCGGATGGATTCTTTACCACTGAGCCACCTGGGAAGCTCCTTAAAAGCAATACTCTTCTGCATTTTGATCAGTCATCATTCCATCAAAGGTCCCAAAGGATAGAGCCTTTACTATATAACCTGATGGCCACAGGCAGCAGCAGCAGGGAAAAGCAGCAGCATCATGGACTTTCCTCCACGAGCTGGGACTCTAGACCGTGAGGGTTCAAATCCCAGCTCTGCCACATGCTGAACAATTCTGTGTCAATCTCTTAGCATCTCTGATCTTTGGTAAAATCGGAATTTAGTGTATCTATGGCACAGTATGTGGAGAAGGAGTGTAAATGGGTTGACCTCAGTAAAGGACTTAGAACAGAGACTGGCACCGAGGAAGTCAGCAGAAAACAGAATCCCACCCGTAATACCCCTCAGCAGGAATACAACCCTGCTGAGAAGCACCAGAGGGACCTGGGCTCAAATTCTGCCTTTTCCTCTTGCTGATCACATGATCTCCATCAGGTTGTCTCAGCTCCCTGATTGTTCATTTCTAGGTTTTGTAAGGATGAGGACTAACCCACGTGATGCACCTGGTTCATAGAGGCCAATGGCAGCCATCACCATTCTTAATGGAGCCCCATGTGTGGTGCTGTGTATGCCTGTTCCACAGGAATCAACTAAAGTACCCATTGGCTGATGAGGGGGAGGGGAAACTACTTCTG